TGAACACAGTGATTACTTTTTGCAGTTTTCGAAAGAAAATTCTAGTGATCGCACAAGATATCTTCATTTTGTTTTTTTTTATGATATACCAATAACATCATTTTTGCGGAGCGTAGTGTGTTTGTTCAGTGAAATACGAAGTTGTGATACGATGAAGTGCAGATAACGTTTCTTTGGTTTGCGGTTGAGTAGTAGAGGTATTCCGATCCCTACTTTTACATTACTAAAGTAATTCTTTATTGGATTTTTTTGCATCACTAATAAATTCTTTTTTATTTGGTATTTTTTATCTTTTAAACTGTGTTTGCTCGAGTATTTATAAAAGATAAGCTATAACAACTAGTTTGTCTAAAAAACGCCTTGAATAGTGTTAGGTGCCGTAGTGTTGATTTAGACGTCATTATGACGTACTAATTTCATATATGGTTCATGTTACGTAGATAGGCAGGCTTTGTTATCGTTGGTAACCACCTGTTTAGGACAAGGATGCTCCAGAACAAATAATAACACATCCTTTGTTAGGCAAGCAAAGATAGCTGTTTCCTAAAACAGTATGACGGCATTCTTGCTTTGTCAGCATAATTCAAGCTTATATTTCCTAGGGGGTAGGCAGAGAAGTATTAAGTATCCACATTTTGCCAAGTAAAATATTTAGTCCTATTTCCGTAATAGGGGCAAGAATATTGCCGTTAATAGGGCAGTATAAGGGGTTAGATGGGCAAATTAATAATGGGGTCCGTGTGGTGACAGATTAAGAATACGAAGTAGAATACGAATACGAATACGAGCGGACTAAGGGAACAAACTGTGTAAAACAACAGCTCTGCAAAGAGAAGGAGAACTTGAAACAAACCCTATACCAATCCGTCTGGCCAGCATGATATAGTTAGGCCTAAACCTCGTTTCTAAGGAGAGGCCTATATCCAGTAGTGGCCTCTTAAATGGTGTTGATGATGGGCAACTTAATGTAAGCAACAGTCAGAGCAGGTCGCATACCTGTAATTTGAATTGGCTTTTGCTTGGAAAGTCCAAACCCTTTAAACAGCATTATTAGTTAAACTTAAAACATACCGAATGTGTCTGAATTGGGCCACAATATAATTGTTATTATTAAAGATTCACACATTCCAAGTATGTTTAGTATTTCCTCTTGTATACGCTCAACTTGTAATCTGACCTCCCTGATTCAAGTTGAAAAGGCATAAAGACGTTTATACCCGGTCGGTAACGCGTGACGGATACCGCTGGTTCTCTAACCAACTATAGTATAAAGTAACCCGCTACTAGGTATGTACCACCGTGTCCCACTTTCTTTAATAAATAACTATTATATTGAAAACTTTCATTCAATTTATTTAGATATTTAAAGTGTTATGTTTTTGTTCGTACCTTGTTAATAACCTCGAAAATGTAACATTTTTAACACATACTTTATGCATACTATGTCAAATATTGTAACATGGCCTTAGAAATCAGCATTGAAATAGCAAATGATACTTAAAATTAAAAAGTCTCTTTGATTGAAAAAATATTAATCTAAGTCTTGACTAATATCTACATATTTTTAATATCTAGTGTTTGGGTTTTACAATTTCATGAATAGAAAAATTTGCTGTTCTTCGCTTGAATTATCTCAATCGAGGGCATCTATTAGGATTTATATACCTTGACATTTGAAGCAATGGTCTAAAGAACTATTGTATTCATAGCTATTATATGATGACGTGAAATATATTTATAAATGACTCGAATACCTGAAAGATATTTTTAATATACAACCCAAATTTATATAAAACTAGCAGTAACTGTTTTGTTTACAGTAAATACTTGTTTTTACTGTTTCTTAGAACAGGATTTTAGTTCTAATTAATATTATAATGTATTTTTTTTGTTATTTGCCATAAGTAGCTTATATCAGATTGGTTTTAAGTTTTGAATACATATCCGGAAAGATGTTCTAGTGATTAACGTAATTTTTTATGTATCATTTTAGGTTCGATGATAGGACTCATGTTCCAACAGTAACAAAGTCATAAAAGATAATTCCTTAATGAAATTTTAACAACTGCGGAACAACTTTTTTGCCAATAATATAATAAATAATATAATAAAAAAAAAAACTTTAAAATTACATCGGAAGGTAGAAAGTAATGCCTGCGTTTGCAGCATAATTAATAGAAATTTAAACGAGCGTAATATGTTTATGCAAACTTTAACAAATTATCATCACTCAGTCAAACTCATTTATTCATAAATGAGTTTGACTGAGTTAAAACATGCCTTTTTAGTAAATACTTTCATCTATAACTACATGTGCCTAATTATGTGTGGGAATGATGATGCCGAATTAAAAGATTGTATCTAATTATTTTGGCTGGTGATTTAGCATTGAAAATTAATTTAACTAGGTGTTGACTACTGTTGACGCACAGTGTGCTTGCAAGTAAGCACGTAAAGGCAGTACGGTTTGCAGAACGGCCGGATTCAGACGCCTTTGCCGCGGCGCGACCGTAGAGCAGTTGCTCTATAAACTGTTAAAAAACGCTAGTCTGAACACAGTGATTACTTTTTGCAGTTTTCGAAAGAAAATTCTAGTGATCGCACAAGATATCTTCATTTTGTTTTTTTTTATGATATACCAATAAACATCATTTTTGCGGAGCGTAGTGTGTTTGTTCAGTGAAATACGAAGTTGTGATACGATGAAGTGCAGATAACGTTTCTTTGGTTTGCGGTTGAGTAGTAGAGGTATTCCGATCCCTACTTTTACATTACTAAAGTAATTCTTTATTGGATTTTTTGCATCACTAATAAATTCTTTTTTATTTGGTATTTTTTATCTTTAAACTGTGTTTGCTCGAGTATTTATAAAAGATAAGCTATAACAACTAGTTTGTCTAAAAAAACGCCTTGAATAGTGTTAGGTGCCGTAGTGTTGATTTAGACGTCATTATGACGTACTAATTTCATATATGGTTCATGTTACGTAGATAGGCAGGCTTTGTTATCGTTGGTAACCACCTGTTTAGGACAAGGATGCTCCAGAACAAATAATAACACATCCTTTGTTAGGCAAGCAAAGATAGCTGTTTCCTAAAACAGTATGACGGCATTCTTGCTTTGTCAGCATAATTCAAGCTTATATTTCCTAGGGGGTAGGCAGAGAAGTATTAAGTATCCACATTTTGCCAAGTAAAATATTTAGTCCTATTTCCGTAATAGGGGCAAGAATATTGCCGTTAATAGGGCAGTATAAGGGGTTAGATGGGCAAATTAATAATGGGGTCCGTGTGGTGACAGATTAAGAATACGAAGTAGAATACGAATACGAATACGAGCGGACTAAGGGAACAAACTGTGTAAAACAACAGCTCTGCAAAGAGAAGGAGAACTTGAAACAAACCCTATACCAATCCGTCTGGCCAGCATGATATAGTTAGGCCTAAACCTCGTTTCTAAGGAGAGGCCTATATCCAGTAGTGGCCTCTTAAATGGTGTTGATGATGGGCAACTTAATGTAAGCAACAGTCAGAGCAGGTCGCATACCTGTAATTTGAATTGGCTTTTGCTTGGAAAGTCCAAACCCTTTAAACAGCATTATTAGTTAAACTTAAAACATACCGAATGTGTCTGAATTGGGCCACAATATAATTGTTATTATTAAAGATTCACACATTCCAAGTATGTTTAGTATTTCCTCTTGTATACGCTCAACTTGTAATCTGACCTCCCTGATTCAAGTTGAAAAGGCATAAAGACGTTTATACCCGGTCGGTAACGCGTGACGGATACCGCTGGTTCTCTAACCAACTATAGTATAAAGTAACCCGCTACTAGGTATGTACCACCGTGTCCCACTTTCTTTAATAAATAACTATTATATTGAAAACTTTCATTCAATTTATTTAGATATTTAAAGTGTTATGTTTTTGTTCGTACCTTGTTAATAACCTCGAAAATGTAACATTTTTAACACATACTTTATGCATACTATGTCAAATATTGTAACATGGCCTTAGAAATCAGCATTGAAATAGCAAATGATACTTAAAATTAAAAAGTCTCTTTGATTGAAAAAATATTAATCTAAGTCTTGACTAATATCTACATATTTTTAATATCTAGTGTTTGGGTTTTACAATTTCATGAATAGAAAAAATTTGCTGTTCTTCGCTTGAATTATCTCAATCGAGGGCATCTATTAGGATTTATATACCTTGACATTTGAAGCAATGGTCTAAAGAACTATTGTATTCATAGCTATTATATGATGACGTGAAATATATTTATAAATGACTCGAATACCTGAAAGATATTTTTAATATACAACCCAAATTTATATAAAACTAGCAGTAACTGTTTTGTTTACAGTAAATACTTGTTTTTACTGTTTCTTAGAACAGGATTTTAGTTCTAATTAATATTATAATGTATTTTTTTTGTTATTTGCCATAAGTAGCTTATATCAGATTGGTTTTAAGTTTTGAATACATATCCGGAAAGATGTTCTAGTGATTAACGTAATTTTTTATGTATCATTTTAGGTTCGATGATAGGACTCATGTTCCAACAGTAACAAAGTCATAAAAGATAATTCCTTAATGAAATTTTAACAACTGCGGAACAACTTTTTTGCCAATAATTTTAAACGAGAAAAATACCGTAGTGTTTAAATTATATTTTAGTTTGAAATTGTCCGATAAATAGTAATCACACCTAACTTCTTCTTTATTCGCTCTTTCAAAATTTTCATGAAGAAATGCAACATTGAGGCTTTGTTGATAACTTGAAAACTGATAAATAAAACGTATAATAACAACGTAATATAATAACAAATCGCAATAAACAGATTGAAATGTCATAATACACAGACACAAACTATGTATATTATTAAGATTTAGTCGACACGATTGATTTGAAAATAATGAGATTTGAGAGATAAAATAACGAGTCTAGTAATTATTCTCCTTCTTGTTCCAGATATCATCAATGCTACCACGATGCAGACTGCAAGAGAATCGAGCAGACAGAAACGGTGTAACAAAAGGCGAAACCCGAGAAAGAAATCTCTGTCACCATCGGACTTAAAGTGCACCAGGGGTGATGTAAAAACTGACAACAAATTGAATGGAAAGCGGTCGCTATCCGAGGGTTCAGTGAAAGTTAAACATAGGAAAAGTAACATACGGCGAACTTTGACCCATCCGTTTACGTATACGGACGACATTCGTGATGTTAGCATGATCGGTGTATTCAATATTGATGTTAAAGTGGAACCTCCACCAGAAAGTGATGAGTCTAATTTGCCACCAACGAGTAGTGATAGGGACACGGAGGACGATGGGAGGCTATCAAGGCCAGTGCCACAGAGATCTCGGTGGGACTCTGGAAGCGAGATGGACTCGCTTGTGTCGACGGTGGTGAGGAGAGCATCGGCTAGACGTCGCAGGACGCCAGCAAACCCAGGTCAGATTCCTATTCTGAATAGAGTTATTAATTAGTTATTTTTCTTATCATGTGGAAACTCTCAGGGGTCTTTGCGTCACTGGGTCTTACGGTAAAACGAGAAAAACCACACGGCATTCCGACATAATTTAATCATATATTATTTACATAATTTTGTCTATTACTAGCTACTCGGGTATACAATAAGAGGAAAGGCATGAAGAAAGTGCCTTAATCCGCCATTGTACATTTTTGTGCAAAAATCGATAGTAAATAAATAAAAAGAATTGCTATATACATATACATGTTATAACTTTCAACGTGGAGTAGCTTTTAAAGTTTCTAATATTCTGTTGTAGTTAGCAATGCAGATCCACAAAAGACGCATTCAATTATCTAAAGAGCCTAAGAACCTTCTGTTTCATTAATATTTCAAGATTTTGCGAGTTAGGGTTCCTAGATAATATTAATTCCGCTATTTGCAAGCATAGATCGTTCGATCGAAAAAAAAAAAAATAAAAAAAAAAAAAAAAAAAAAAAAAAAAAAGTTTATACATCTGACATTTAGAAATGAAATATGTAATAAGTACATAAACGCGTATGTTCAGATACATGAATATCTGAGTATGCACACATCGGAATATATTTAATTTATTGCTGATACTGTTTTTGTAATTCTAGACTACGTGATCGCAAGCTGTACAGAAATATACGCGATAGTCAGCAAGCAAATGTTTGATCTGGATCTATTGTGTTAAATAGCATTAATGTTTATTCCTAATTATTGTGTAATTTTATGCATTATAATAAAAATTTTAAACAGTATTATTATATTAAGACATGAAATATAAAACTTTTAATTTCTCATTCATCAATCAACCAATCGATTTGGCCCCTCAATGTATGACCATCAGCTGTTATCAATAGATTTAGAAAGAGATCGCTTTCCTGGTACTAAGTTCAAGCGCATGCTTTTTAATCTGTTATTTTTTTTAGCTTCTATAGGTTAAGGTATCAATAACTACGAAATTACTTTACTTTCATTATCTTATTGAAACGATTTTAAACACTATTCGACCTTTTATGATAAACACTAGTGTTATGCCTCCAAAACAAAGGTCGTCTGGGTTATACGAGTAATTACCGTATTATTATTATAAATTGATAGTCATCATCATCATTAACAGCCTTTAACAGTCCACTGCTAGACATAAGACCTTAACCTTTCTAAGACCTTTCTAAGAAAAGGTCTTAGAAAGGTGGTTTATATACCACACTAGCCAGACGGGTTGGTATAGCGTTTGGGTCAAGTTTTGTTTCTCTTTGCAGTGCTGGTGTCTGTCTTACGACACCCACGGGACACTCCGTATTATTAATCCATCACGTAGATAATATCAATTGTTAATAGCACTGCTCACATCAACTGTATTGGGTATTCTAAATAAAGTAGAAGTACCCTGCATACATGTTAAATAAACATGTAATTATAGTGCGTTTAAAAGTACTTTCTTTATGGTATCGAGGCACACGAACAGACGGTGTCTAACGCCGCCCATGATCACCCGCATTTCAAGGACCAGAATTAAGGAAAGAATATTGCTAAACATCAAGTTTCTGTGTTGCCTTAGTATCTATCACCCCGGTCGAGCCGGCCCATTAGTGGCGAAGCAATTCTCTCCCACGGTATTCAATTTGTAGTGGCATTATATAAGTTTATCAACGTGAGGATTCTCTAAGAAATACAACACTACACTCTTACACATCCTAAGTATATTTAATAAGATTGTGCGACATTGCAACAATATTATTCATATTCAGATTTTTTGCTGCAGTGTTGCAAAAAAATACCTAACCCAAAGACAAGACGTGATGTATATTTGCACGTTTAATTTCTAAATGTACGCGTACTGTAGAAGTCTTTGCATAATATTATCATTATACGTTATTTCAAATGAGTTTATGATCCTTATCGCATGTGAAACTGTCACATGAGATAATAGGTACACTCACTGAAATTTTTATGAAAATTTTCTCTCAGTCTTGCTATTCAGGACACACGTTATGTATATTAATCAAATAAATATTGAACTGTAATTGGCTGTTTTCAATTGGCAATGAAGGTTGCATATGGTTGATTATTTTCTTTGAGATAGATAGATGTACAATAAAAACATAATAATACAGTTTGTATACATTGGGGCGAGTCTTATAATCTTTTAGTCTTTCGTCTTCGTCTCTAACGCATTTTTTAATATTATTATATACCTAGTCATGTATTATGAGATTTAAACGGGCAACATTTGAATACCTATCGTGAGCGCGTTAATTCCCGAATTCATAATTATATTTATTTTTTTGTTTTACCTGTGCAATGAGGTTTATACTCGTTATATTTTTGAGTGCATGCATTTCTGTAGCCTAAACGGCTTCATCGATTTTGGTGTTTACGTGTCGTTATATTGGTCTTAATTGTGAGGTTGAAACAGGACAAACGAAATTAAAAAAAAAAATAAAACGGGCTTTTTAGCGCCAATTTATATGCAAAAAACTATCGAGTGAGGTACCAAAATAAAGGATTACAGGAAAGTCTTACAAAAATATATACATTATTATATAACTCATATATTTAAATGTAATTTGAAACGAGAAATGCTAAAAAAGATATCAAATATAATTAAGTTTGTGAATTTCAGTAAACGATTTTCACGCATTCAGTTTTTTTTTTTATAAATAACTTGTTAACTAACTGGCTATATATTTTATAGTGTAAATATTATACTAGCAAGCGTACTAAATAAATAAGAAAACTAACAACAAAAACTTATTAAGACATTAACTTTTTATATGTAATCAAGTAAATAATAAGTCAGTTAATTTCCACAACAGCTCAGTGAACAAAGCAATCTAGATACAAAAATTAATAATTTGCATTTGAAACAACTATATATTTACATCATGATTAAACAGGTTAATTGCTGCATAGAAATTGTATATAATACCGATCGTCAAGGTTAGTCAAAGAAAATGTAAATACCTATATTTATATCTATACATATATTTGCACCTAATAATGTACTTACTTCAGGATATGATAATTTATTTGTATGTATTTAATGAAACAATGAAGATCTATCCTATCGTTTATATATATACTTATATATTACTACGTTGATTTCCTCGTTTTATCAAATTCCTAATACACCAGAAACTACCCTACCTTTTCATTATTATGTTTTATCTCCATCCCACGGTTGTCTCTAAGAGATTGCCTCTGAGCGCTAAGGCCACCGTTTGTAATTTTCTTATTATAAGTTATTTATTATATGCATCTGGTAAACAATAAAGAGATATTATTATTGTTATGGTAATGACATTAATTTAAGCTACACTTGCCGCCTATGTGTTGCGTAATTGGCAACGTAATTGGTGGTTGTTGGCTGTCATGATATTGACGTAGGAGAATCAAGCTACGGGACATATTTATTCTACTATTAAAAAAAGTTTCATAAGCAAAGTTCTAGGAATGTTATACACTTGAAATGTCTAATATTGTTTTATGAATTGACTCCTCTTAACTTAAACCAACTCTTGCCTATAAGAAAGATATTATATTTCGAGATTTAACTTTGTTAGTTTCGGCTATTAGTTCTTTATGTACATTTGCTGTAACTTACACTGCCTCTATTTTATTCTATGCTATCCTTTCGGTTCCCTTAAGGTTTTATCATCAATAATCGACAGCCTTTAATAGTCCCCTGCTCGACATAGGCCTCTTCTCATAAAGGAGGTTCTGGCCTACTATACAACGCTGGCCAGACAGGTTGGTGTAAGGTATGTGTTAACTTTTCCTTCTCTTTGCAGTGCTATTGTCCTGCGTAGTTTACTCCCTTAGACGGCTCTTACGACATCCACGGGTTTGATAGGGGTGTTGTCACTCCGTGTTCTTAATCCGTCACCACACAGGTTTACTCTTATTCCATATGAATATATTTATCTTGTAAATTTAAAGAACAGAAAAATTATCGAGATAAAGTAATCTCATTCGTAGCGGTTCTTCCTTGGGGGTATAATTATCATTGGTTTTAGCAACATGAGAATAAACAGCGAAAAAAAGTCTAGTGACAGAGTGAATAAAATCTTGAGTTTGATTTCCTTCCTTCCTTCCTTCTTCTAATAAACTAATGCTGCAAAACCAACAATATTTCTGCTCATAACTAACATTATTAAGGCGAAAGTAAGTTTATTTACTTGTATGTTACGCTTTCATGCCGTAACTAATGAATTGATGATCGTTAAATTTTAAATACTTTTAGATCTTGTTGTGTTATCAGGAGGTCAAAGAAAAGGACAGGTTGCATTTCATCCCTAAAAAGTACTGTTCCTAAATGTTTAAAAAATGTGATTAAAACGAGCGAAGTCCCTGGCAGAAACCACTATTATTTATTAACATACATTGATTACCCACTTATATTAGCAACTTAGTATAAATTAGCATAATCATAATAACTCAGGTATTCACTAGTTTCAGTTGTTATCACCGTATCAAGGAAATCACGGTGTTTAGTGAACTAAACTGACATTTTATGTTAATAAGTCTCTGTAGCTAACAACTTAAAGCATGTGACTTCACGGTCCGTGTAATCAACAACACTTGTATTGTAAACTAAAATAACCCACAATGTATATTTACATAAAGAGAACTGTTATAAAGTCCACATATAGTCATTAAGCCCCTTTAGTTTCCAAGCAATATAAACGGTAGACTTAAAACCACCTTTAGTGTGATATCTTATCACGTTCTAACTTGATAGCTAATCATCACCATTTTCCTAAAATTATTTGAGGTCGGTGCAATGAGTTTTCTTCTTCCATTTTCCTCTATCACTCGTCAGCTTACTTGCTTTTTAGCTATACCAAACCATCTCTCAAGCAGTTCATCCATCTTTTCTTTTTCGTCTCCTACTCTTATTTCCGTCGACTTCTAAACATAAAACTTTACTCTACGCATCGTATTATTTAACACATACAAATAACAAGCAGACCGGTCACCTGATGG